AGGATTTAATGGAAAAGTTGAGTAGATTCTAAAGAGGAAAGGATAAAATAAGAGACCGCATCAGAAAAGTATAATTAAATTTGATAAGTCAAATATAAATTATTCAAATTAAATGAGAAAACAATAAGTGAAAATTCTAGAAATAAGCCAAAATAAAGAATTCAAAGGTGGGATTAATAGAGAATTACACACTGTCAATTAAGAACGAGGTCAATGAATCAAAATAACCCAAACTAAGCCTGAAGAGAAAAAAAAATTGAGAAAAGAATGACCAAAACCCGAGTAGGCTCAGTCCACACATTTTTGATGAAGACGTCGCTCCAATCAATGAGCATATAATCTTTCCAATAAATCATGCTGGATCAATTGAATGGCATTTATCCCATTCTACTTTGACTGTAGACATCACCCATGAAAATTGAAGACGTTTCGTAAGCCTAAACATAAAAGTTAAAATTATAAAGCTAACAGAAGAATTAAGAAAGTGAGTCATAAACCAAAAAGACATCTTGTGATACACAAATATTTCTTTGAGCCACACAAAGCACCTAAGAGAAACTGCAAAGCGAAACTTTACAAGCTATGTCCATCAAAAGCATAACTACGAAAATAAAAAGGCAGACAACTTACAGAGAAAATATGTTCAAAATGTATATATCCCACAAAGGACATGTAGCCAAAGAAGAGTTACAGGCCAAAGATGGAATAGTTGATTCATTAAAGAACATACCAGAAAGGCCCAGAAAGGGCCTATACATCATGAGTCATTAGGGAAATGTAATTTACAGCAGGCTGGGGCAAAAAGCCTGGTTCTTGTAAAATATCTGCCTGTTCAGTGATTCATCACTGGTAATTCTATGCTTTGTAAAATGTATGCTCATTCAGACATTCAGAGGCTCAACAACGGTATGCTTTGCTATTAGGCCAAGAGAAATTTTAAATATATAGATATAGATATAGATATCACAAGTTTTGTTCATAATAGCCTCAAACAAGAAATAATCAAAATGTTCATGCAAGGCCAGCAAGACAGCTCAGCAGTCCAAAGCACCTGCTTAGGCAAGCTTAGGCAGGTGCAGGGGACCATGGTTCGATCCCTGACACCACGTGCCACGCCAACCCCGCCCTCAGGGGGCGCTGAGCCAGCACTCCCCCAAAAAAAGAAAAAAGGAAAAAGAAGTGTCCATGCAAAAGAGAATAGACAAACTGAGTGCCCCGTGGAATATTCCTCGGCAGCACAGATGAATTAGCACGGTCCTGAGAGAAGGAAATCTAACACAGAAACACCCCTACGGTGAGATTGCATGCATAAAATTCAAACATCAGGAACGCCGATCTGTGGCAGTAGGAGGCAGCATGCTTTTTCTCTTTGGAAGCTGAGTACGAACAGCAGAGACATAAAGCATTCTAAAAAAGAGAGAGTGAACATTCTAGAATTGCAGAGATTTGAGGGCTCTTGACTGTGGCGATGATTATGGATCTGCACTTAATCTTATATACATGTTATCACTCTAAGATAATAAAGAAGGAAAAGGACATCCATAGGATAACTGTAGACTCAGTGGGGACCAGGATGCATCAACTGAAGATTTTATACTGCCATTAAATTTTACTACTCATTAAGTGACCTATATCTGCACTGTTGATTATTTGACAGGCATATATAGTAGAAGAGGCAAGTAGTGCTTTCCTCAAAGGAGTTACATAACTAGCTAAAGAAATTACAGCTGGTAAGCACTGACAATGCTGGATATAGAATATAAGTATTTTGACAAGTAGGGCAGTCTTCTGTCTTCCACAAACTTTTTGTCTCCTTTAGTGTTAATATGGTTGGTAAATAATTGTGCATCAAAAGAGAACTCCCTATCAACCTCGGTGGATGTATTTTTAGCACCTGCTTTTAAAGGCATATTGTGCATTCACCCCATGTGCAGAGGGCAAGAAAACACATGCGACTCGTGTGCCTTAAATACGGCAGGTGTAAAAATAAGACTGATAAAATATGACCGGTACACATAAAAAATGCATAGAGTTCAGACCAGCAAGATAGCTCAGCAGACTAAGTGCCTACTTTGGCAGGCGCAGGGACCAGGGTTCGATCCCTGGTCCCACATGCCATGCCAGCCCTGTCCCCAGGATGCGGTGAGCTGGAGACTGAGTCTGGCATGGTGGCACATGCCTGTCATCCCATCTCTGGGGAGGCTGAAAGCAGGAGGATCACTACGGGTCTGAGCTGTGTAGTAAGACCCTATATCAAATACATGAAAAAAATGCATGGACCTCAAAAGCAACATGACCAGTGCTAGACAGCCAGGGGTCCTGTGCAGGGTCCCCAGGAAGGGCCCTGTCTCCAACTGAGGCAGCTGAGTGACATTTGTGTTGAGTTTGTCACTGAGTTCATCAGGGAGGGATGGCACCCAGCGAGTCTGAGGAGTGGCTGGAGCTTGGGTCTGGGAGACAGAAATCAGTCCTGCACTGAAGAGGGTCCTGTTGGTTGAGGTGAGGAGTCTGGGCTTCATTTTCGGAGGGTGTCCAAAGGAGACCTGTAATTTAGATGTGCTGAACGCTATCCCACCACGGGACAGCCATGGAGTTAGCCACGATCATTCACAGTGTCCCTGTCGCCCTCTGTTCCCAGTGTCCCTTCTCCGGAGGGTGGCGCACCATGCGCATGTGTCCTCCCCCATTCCCAGGGTCTGAGGGGAGGCTGCAGCTGTCCATCACCTCTCAGCCCTCCTGATTGATCAAGACCAAAGTCCTAGCCCATATGTGCACACAGGAACCAGTGGTCAACGTTCCCCAATTAGAAATCAGCTGAAGGAAAGAGAAACTGTTTCTCATCGTACCCCCTGGTTACTTTAAAATAATAACAAAACGTTGCATAGTTGCACATTTTAATTAACTGGAGTCTGCAATAGGAAAACCAAAATACAGGTTCTCCTCAAATGTATTTTTCTCTTAACTCATTAGGTTTGCTGGGAGATGGCAACTTCCTCTCAGAAATTTACACTGTTCAAGCATATCATTGAGTCCCAGACTCTTTCCCTTCCGATGGTTTGCTGAAATAAGCATTTCACCCCACCAGCCTGTGGAAATGGTGCAAGTCCTGAAAACACCCACGCAGACAGCGAGGCCGCTAAGAACTTCCAGCACAGCCATGACAATGTAAAGAGAGTCACGAAACCCAAACCCAGCTCTGCCAGCCGGCAACCAACTCTAGGAGACTCCGCTCATCCGCCGCTACATGTCCCTCCAGTTTGTATTTTTTGCTTCCACTAGCAGGCACCAAGGAGCAGGGCTCCGAGCTGGGGACATTCTTAAGTTTATTTGGGATCATGAAATTTCTAACTTCATCAGTGTGATGGGCTTTTTCCCTGTAACACTCTTGAGACAACTTTCTTTTTCGTTTCTACTTTTGAAAATGAAATTCATACCACAAATAAAGTCAAACAAAATGGAATTCATTGTATTTTATAATGGAAGTAAAATTCAAGAAAGATTCCAAGGAAGTCCCACCCCAAGTCCTTATCAGCCCAACATTGCAACAAAAGCCTGTCTGACCAAATTGCTGGTTTGGAACCCACATTACAGAATTTCATCTTCCAAGTCCCAGTATTTTCTTTCTTTTTTTTTTTTTTTTTTTTTGTTTTGCTCTGAATGCCTTCAGGGCAGGTTTGGCTGGCTTGAGTTGTGGGGATCGAACCACAGCAACCTGAGCCTGACTGCTTTGTTGAAGCAGCCACTTAAAGAACTGAGCTACGGGGCAGGCCCCCAAGTCCCAGTATTTTTAATCATCATTAAACAGAGGACTTCATAACCATATCTCTGATGACAAGACCCCCAAGCTTCTTTACCCCTACTGAGAAGCACAATCACTGAGAATGCCGCACGAGACTAAGGCGTTGTAACTCAACATCTGTACCTCACTCTTAAAAGCAATCTCAGGCTAAAAAGAGATTATAGATGAGGGCCGGGGCTAGCTCAGTGGCAGAGTGGGCTTTGCCTACAAGGTGCCCCAGGTTTGACCCCCGGCGGCGTGGAATGGAAGGAGAAGGGGAAGGAGGGGAGTACAGCGAAGGAAACAGTATAACTCATCTAAAAATGAGCCATAAGAAGCGTGAGCTCAAGTCTCAGAAAATCTAAGGCCATTGCTCCAGAGCTTGATAAGCAACTTGTATTTTGGTCATGGGGCACAACATATCAGGGCATAACACATCAGTTACACAAAATGACTTTTCCGTGTGTGCACAGAAAAACATCACACACACACACACACACACACACACACACACTTCAGACCCCGATCACACCTTGTGCCTCTTCCATGTCCACACCTGCATGAGACCACAACAAGCCTTGCAAGACTGCTAATCAGAATAACCATTTTAATGGTGGTGACCCAAACAAATTAATGTCATTTAATGAGGTGTCATATTGTTTTTCAAAGTGCAACACAAGCAATCGATCCGCAGAATCAAAATCAGTGGGTCACTGTTGTCCTTACTTGGAAAGTGTTGCACCTTTAATTACCAATTGACCAAATCTTCTCTTTTGTTCCTTACTTCATCAAAGGACCATGCGTGCTTCCTGGGATGGTTTGCTGAAATAAGCATTTCATCCCACCAGCCCGTGGAAATGGTGCAAGTCCTGATTTAGTAACCTAAGGTTATCCTTTTATGAGGCATAAAACTCTTCCTCGATAAATAAACAGCACTAATGAAACGTTTGCACACAAACAGCACCCACCGTGGCAAGGAAAGCCGCTGTAAATACGCACCGGGCGCTGTATAAAAGTGTCAGCAGGAAGGAGGCATTTGGAGCTGAGGCCATGGGAGCGTCGCAGCCTGTCTGGCCTCCCCATAAGACGATGGCTTCTAATGGTTCGCAGGTGCGGGGCCCTCCAGAGCCCTGCGCCAGAGATCCAGGATGTAACTCCACCTCGACCTGTCCCCCAGAAGCCACTCGCCTCCCCAGCGCTGGCCCCGTGTCTGGGTGCCAGGCGCTGAGCTTCCTCCCGAGGACTCGCCTGTCCCCGGGGTGCCTGGCACCGTGCTACCTGGCTGCCAGCGGCGACAGTCCCTGCGTGGTGGAGCATGGCGCTTGGTGTGAGGATGGGGCGTTCAGCAGCAATGAGAAGGAGACCATGCAGTTCCTGAACGACAGGCTGGCCAGCTACCTGGAGAAGGTGCGCTCCCTGGAGGAGACCAACGCGGAGCTCGAAGGCAAGATCGCTGGGCAGTGCGAGCCGGGCGCCCTGTTCGTGAGCCCCGACTACCAGTGCTACTTCGACTCCATCGAGGAGCTCCAGCAAAAGGTTCGGTGTGTCTCTGCTTACCTCCCTGTCTGCTCTGCCTTATGACCTCTTGCTGGAGGCTGCTAGGTGAAAACAATGCCGAGAGCCCAGGTGCCACGGAGGAGCCAGTGCTGCCACTAATTACAGAGTGACGACAAATAGCCACTATCTGTAGATACAGGATGGGAAAACTCTACTGTACCCAAAACTACTTCTGTACGTAACGCTGTACCATGCCAGCTGTGTATGAGACTGCACATGTATGTTCTTCCCACAGATGGTGGGTGGCACCTTTCAAACTTCTCTTAGCATTCCTTTCTTTCCTGATGCATTTCTATTATCATGGGTAGAGAAAACTAGCAGTGTTCAAATGGCTGGGAGGGCTGCAAAATGGCTTAGACAGTCCCCAAAGCAAACCTCTTCATTCCTACTCTTTGCCTCTAAAACTGGCTCTTTTCTCCATGAAGCAGTGTGTTGATAAGAAAAGCAGGGAAGCGGGTGCTGGTGAGAAGGCTCAGTGGACTAAAGCGCCTGCCTAGGCACGCACAGGGACTGTGGCTCGATCCCCAGCACCACACACCACACCAACCCAGTCCCCAGGGTAGGCTGAGCCAGCCACACACACACACACACACACACACACACACACACACACAGAAAAGCAAAGAGCTGGGGATGCACTGCAGTGGCACAGCACCTGCCTGCCAAGCACAAGGCCCTGAGTTTGGTTCCTGGTATGGTTTGCTTATACCTAAATAAGCCAAGTAGGCTGACCGAGTCCTTATGCTTTCTCGCTGCTGAGGGAGCAGGTGGGTGGACGTCCCCCTAAGGAGCAGCTATTGACCGAGTGGCTTCCTTCCCAGATCTTGTGCACAAAGGCAGAGAACTCCAGGCTTGCCGTGCAGCTCGACAACTGCAAGCTGGCCGCCGACGACTTCAGATCCAAGTAAGCGCAACTGCCATCTGAAAGTCCCACGTGGATCTCTCACACCTTTGCTCTGGCCACCACCAACCATCCCCCTGCCACCTCCAATATTCTCTAATATTGTTAAGATGCACATGCTTTAAAAGCTTTGTAACTCAGGGGCATAAGTACCTGCCTGGCAAGGTCCCGAGTTTGATGTCCAGTACTGCAAAAAAAAAAAAAAAGCTTCCCCCAGCATTGTTTGGGGCGCATGCAGAGGAACCGCGTCCTCTCTGGAGCCCGTTTGCCCCACCCCCAGTTCTGCACCGTGCACAGCATCTTTCTCTCTCCCCGTGCAAGGTACGACGCAGAGCTGTCCCTGCGGCAGCTGGTAGAGAACGACATTAGCGGCCTACGCGGCATCCTGGGGGAGCTGACGCTGTGCAGGTCCAACCTGGAGGCGCACGTGGAGGGGCTGAAAGAGGATCTCCTGTGCCTCAAGCAAAGCCACCAAGAGGTGAGGAAAGCCAAGCGTCTGAGGGTGCTAAGCGAGACGGAGCCCGGAGGACAGCGCTTGGGAATCACGGTGTGAGCTGAATGTGGGCGGGGCCGCTGCCCTGGACCAGAACTCCTGGCGGTGCTGTCAGCCACGCCTGCCGCGCCCACTGTGTGGCGCGGAGCAGACGTGGCCTTTCTCCCCCTGCACTGTCCTTGGCATGACCCCCAGCCGGTGCCATAGCAAGGAGCCCCGCTCTTCCTGACGTTAAGGCCACCCCTAAGTATAACCCACGAGCTATGAAAACGGACCTCATCAACGCAGACAGTGAAGTCCATCCCATAAAGGGTGAAAGGCCCGAGCAGCGTTTGCACCCATGTTGCTAAATAGTCTGCACCTGTAAATGCTTCTGAGTTATAAAATATTCAGTGTATGCTCATTCCATCTTTATAGAGGCTGACTGATGTAAAAAGTGTATTTTTCTCTTGCAACCTTTGTCACTGGCACTTTGATACCCGCTTAGGACCCCCATCAGGTCTATGTGTGCATAGCAAATCTCGGTCTTACAATGACCACAGAAGAGGCAAAATTCCCACATCATTTCGCAGACGAAGACACTAAGGCACTTACAAGGGGGCCAAAGAGACACAGGCCGGGCAGTGTGAATCAAAATCCTCCCACTCTTCCCCACCCTGCCCAATACCGAATTGGGACACCTCTGGTTTTGTCCCCTGGCTCTGTGGCATGGTGTCCCCTGTCTCCATCTCCAGGAGGTCGGCGTGCTCCACGGACAGCTTGGAGACCGACTCAACGTGGAGCTGGACATGGCCCCCACCGTGGACCTCAACGGGGCCCTAGAGGAGATGCGATGTCAGTATGAAACGGTGCTGGCCGACAACCGCAAGGAGGCCGAAGAGTGGTTCGCTGCCCAGGTCAGCCCCGAGCGCAGCCAGGGCGGCTCCCGGGCTCGGGCCTCCGTGGGTTCTCTAACGGGTCCGTGTTGCAGGCGGAAGAGCTGAGCCAGCAGCAGCTGTCCAGCGCCAAGCAGCTACAGTGCTGCCAGACGGAGATCCTGGAGCTGAAGCGCAGGGCCAGCGCCCTGGAGATCGAGCTGCAGGCGCAGCAGAACCTGGTACGCGGGGCAAAAAGCAGTCTGTCTACACGGACGAGCAGACCCTGGGAAGCCACGCCCTCTGCCGGAAGCCCCGGCCGGCTGGATTTCCCACATGCAAGGACTATAGGAAAAGTCCTGATCGTTTCCTATGAAACTCTGTTGACCCAGTTGGAGGCAAGAGTGAGGAGTTCAGAGCTTGCATGGTCGCACGGGCGCCTACTTCCCTCCCGGGCCTGAGCATGAGCCTGGTGCACCCTCCAGAGACAGGGGAGGGGGCGGAGCAGAGTGACAGGGATTTCCAAGCCAAACTGAAGGCACTTTGGCCTGACAGCCGCAAACTCTTAAGAGTTAAGTAAGACAATCTTCCAGGTTCTCCTTCATATCTAAAGCATAGTTTTCAAGCTTTTTATCCTACAAGAATAGGACAGTGACCCCGGACCCACCAGCCCTTCAGTACGCCCCTGCCCCCCACCCAATCACCAAGGACATCTAGCAGCAAGGATCACACGCACGCTTCCTGGCCAGGCACCAGCGTGCGCTGCAGGAAGCCCCAGGAAAGCACGCACGCGGCCCAGAGCTGAGCATGCCCCGGCCGCACACAGCCCACGCCTCCTGAGGGAGTGGCCTCACGCCCTCAGTGCACAGACTAGGGCAGCACTGTAAGAGGGGAAGCAGAAGCTGTACCCCAGGGGTTCAAGCTCAGAGCCCTTCTCTTTCTAAGCACCCTCTGCTGCCCCTCCCTGGCAGAGCCCCGCCTCAAATCTTCCTCCTAAATTCTGTCCATCCTTTGTAAGCTACAGACAGAAGTCACAAGTAGCAGCAGCTGCAGAAGTGGAAGTGACTGCCGGCATTTGGACAGCGCTTCAAAGTTTTCCAGAAAAAGTTCTAATCTCACTACACATGCTAATTCACTCACCCTTCCAGTCTCTTATGCACTAGGCCTTTTGCTTTCCTCACTTTATGTAGAATAAAACTGAGGCTCAGAGAAGCCACGTGAGGGCCCGGGAGGCGCAGCCCCGGGGTCCTTCTGACGATGCCTTCCGCCTGCAGACCGACTCTCTGGAATGTACTATGGCAGAAACAGAGGCCCAGTACAGCACCGAGCTGGCCCAGATGCAGGGCCTGATCGACAGCGTGGAGGCGCAGCTGGCCGAGATCCGCTGCGACCTGGAGCGGCAGAACCAGGAGTACGAGGTGCTGCTGGACACCAAGGCGCGGCTGGAGGGCGAGATCGACACGTACCGGGGGCTGCTGGACAGCGAGGACAGCAGGTGAGTTCCTTAGGAAACTCCTGGGAGTCCCGCGAGGCTGACACGGGGGCCCTCAAGGTCTGACCATGGTCACCCCTCCTTAATGGGTCCAGCGCTCTTAAAAAAAGAGGAGTAGGAATAAAAGTGGCAGAGGCTAAGCAATGACATTGGGTGTGTGTAGGCTGACATTTGCAAAGTGAATCAAACACAGAAAGTGTTACTCTAAGGCCCCAGCTGCTGTAAAGCACCTCTGTGGATGCAGAGAAGAAGCAAGCTTGTCTGGCTGGGGACAGAGCTCAGCTGCACAGCACCTACCTGGCAAGCCCGAGATCATGAGTTCAGTTCCGGTACCAAAAGAAAAAACGAAAGAAAGAAAGAAAGAAAGAAAGAAAGAAAGAAAGAAAGAAAGAAGCTTAAGTCCAATGCTATTCTGCAAAGTTTTCTACAGAACATAATTTGCAGGGCAAAATGCAAGGTCATTTGAGATGCCCACTTGCCATGGTCGCCTCACTAAGCTCAGTTTAAAATCGATCCCCACCCAGGCTGGCCAGTGACCCATGCTCCGCGGCGTCCGCATCCAGCACCACCTGTGAGCCCAGCCCCGCCTACCTCCTTTGCACTGTGGAAAACTGCTGTGCATGAGTTGAGTGCCCAGCCCGGTGGGCGGAAGAGCCGAGGCCGGCAGCCCTGGGGGAGACAGAGCCGCAACCCAGGGCAGCCAAACCAGACGCACACATCCCGTGCCTCCCATGTCCTAGAACTCTCCTCCTGCAGCCCTGGCATATGTATCCACGTCTCCCCTTTACGCTCATCTGTGGTAGTCTGGGAGCCTGTAAAGCTTTGTAGTTCATCTCAGAATAAAATGTGCTTCACTCCTCTAGCACGGCAAATATAACTTCGCAGCTCATTGTCATCAATGTAGCAGCCCTTTCCTGGCACAAGAACTGCCAAAACCCAGGAATACAGACTAAATTTGCATAAAACCAGCCTGAAAATGTTCTTTAAGATCTCAAATACAAATAAATTAATCCATGAAAAAATGTTACGTATTGTGGAAGATAACTGAGTGCACATTTCTCAGAGGAAACTTAGAAATAAAATATACTACGTTATATTCTTCCTAGTTGTGAAAGTTTTAGGTTCTCTTTTGCTTCCTGGCATAGCAAGGAGGGAAACACTCTTAATTCTATCCTCTAAACTCCCGTTGCGAATATGCTGGGAAACTTCTAGTTTTCGCTCTTACAATTGGCTTTCTCCCTGACTATCAGCATACTTAGACATGAGCAACTTCGAGTAATTTTTTCCACTTATATCTCACAAATATTTTCTTTTTTTTTTCTTTTTCTGATATCAGGCATTGAACCTAGGACCTTGTGCTTTCCAGGCAGGGGCTTAGCATCTTCAATCCTAATGAAAGTGTAAAGTGCTATGGTGGCCACTATTTTAGTGTTTGCATGATAGGCCATAAGGTACCTCTGATCTTCAGTTAATAAGAATCACTATTTTCATATATTTAAAGAGCAAAGCAGAGAAATTCCCACTCGCAGAAAGGTACAATAGATGTACATTTCTTTACTCTTTCTCCTAAGTTTTAATCAAAACTCTGGAAACTACACATAAAATAAATATAAAAACTGAAAAATGGAACGAGAAGCCAAACCACCCGGCAACCTTGCAGCCCCAGCAATGACACTGTGCTGGGATCTATGGATTACCTTCTACCTCTTCTATCCCAGAATAAGAGCTCAAAAACCCAAGACCCCAAAGCTGTACACACAAACATGCCCCAAAGCAACTTGTTCTCTAGCTAAGCAGTGGAAAAGGAGCTGCCCAGCCTGACAGAAAACCTGTAGATTGAAATCACTCGGCCCAGCCAAACACCACAGAAAAAATCGGTTTCACCCAGTGGTTCTCCACAGGGACCAAGAGGGGAGTCCAGATTCCCATCCACAGCATGGGGCTCCCACAGTGCGGGGATTGCAGGAGGCTGAGGAGGAGTCGGGGTCTCCCATTTCCACTGGGAGACCCTGAGGCTCACGACCCCTACCCCGAGCCCATGCAGACTACACGGAAAACCTGGGCCCTCCTGCAGGAAGCCTAGGTTTGGGAGATGCCCAGCCTGTCCCTCTGTGGAATCTCCCCAGCTCCAGGCCTGCGGCTCCTCCAGCAGGCATGCAGACCTGTGCTTTCTCCCTGAATCCTATATTTTCCTCATTGATAAGGGGACACTTCCAGCCGCTCGCCCAAGGGAATCCCCTTCCTCAGGGGCGCAGTGCTGGGCGCTATCACCAATAAAGCTAACCAGTGGGTTCGAACAAGCTTCACAGCATCTCAGCATCCTGAGATGCACAGGATGGGTTTTCTTTCAAGGCTACGACAAGGTTAGCTGCTAGGGTCACTAACTGCCTTTGCCTGGCTTCTGCCTCTCTACTTGCCGGTACAAAAGGGGACTTCTCCTTGGTTCGGGTCCTAGCCAAGTTCTGAACATTTATAGCAGCTGGAAACGGAAAACAAAAACTGAAAGGCAGTGACCCCTACACATCAATAATGGCAGAAAATAAAAACAGCCTTAATATATGAATTAAAAGGCAGAGATTGAAAGGGTGGGTTAAACACACACACACACACACACACACACAGACTCAGACTCAGACGCGTGGCAGCTTGTACAAGAAGCGCAATTCAAATACACACAACACGTTGGGTTGCAAGCCAAACTTTGGGATGCTGCACCACCTTCGCTGTGGCTCGTCGGAGACCCAGTCCCGGAACGAACAATCATAAGGAAGTAAGTGCGGCAACGTGCCCGGCTCCCTGACCCGTGGCCGGAGCAATGGGCTCAGCTGCAGTCTCAGGGCTTGAGCGAAGTGCTCCCCTGCGTGCCCAGGGCTCTGGAATGTGCGGTCTCCTGCTCATCGGCTTGGCCTTGGCAGGCTGTGCCCCTCTCAGGGAAAAAGGGATGGCCCCGAGTTACTGGGGCCAGTGTTGGGCACGTGCTCAGAACTTTCTGTGTATAACCTTGGAACCAAGAAACGTAGTGACCGAGTTGAGCGGGGCCCAGCCAGCAGCTCGGTCCTCCCGACCCAGGCTTCTTTCTCTCTCATTCTGTCTTCCGTCTACCCCGTTCCCCCCTGCGAGGGTTGGACCCCTGCAGTGGCCTGTTTGCTGTAGCCCCAAAATGGACACAAGCAGCCCAAGCACTGCCAAGCTCTCAAGCCAAAGCCCATGGCCTCCAAGGACGCACGCTGGGTGACGTTCTGGAAACCGGGCCAGAAACAAAGTAGGCGCCACACACAGGGGACCTTCGCGGTGACAGGGTAGCTCCAATCTCCAGGGGCATGAGGGCTGTTGGACGCTGCGCGTGTGAGAAAATATTATAAGTACTGCACAGCTTTAGAATCAAGTTCCTCATTCTGCAAGCGCACTCTAGTTGACCAAGATGCAGCTGTTGGGGACTATGTGCAGGACCCTGCTAGACCTTGTTTTTTAAAAAACACGTATAACTGGGAATTTATAACTATTTCAACATGTAAGAGCTCTTGTAAAACTCGGCACGAAGCTAGAGAAAAATTCTCTTCATTTTTCTATTTTTGTCTTCTGAGCATAATGACAGTATTTAATCCAGGTCGAAAGTAAATTTTAAGGCCTGAAATATTACACTAGTCATTTTTTAAGTAGTACTTTCCCGATTTATCAATGAAAAGTTGCGAAAATGCTTCACTTGTTTGCCCGATGAAATATTGTTCAAACACTTACTTTTCTGTCCACAAAATTAGGAAGACGGTAACAGTACAGAATTATAAAATCACGAGTTGCAGCCACTGGGCAAATTCCACCAGATAATGCTCGCGGGCTACCTGCCCTCTGTTTCTGCCTTTGATTTCCTTTCCACTGTAAGATTGCAGATGCTTTTAATAGTTTTCTCTGCATCTGCAACATAAATACCAAATAACTATACCAAGTCTTCCCTCAAAAGCCTACCCACGGCCACGGGCCGTCCATGTGCAAGTCTGCACTGCCAGCTGGCCTACAGGAGTATTTTCAATCTGAGTACAGCGGAAGTGGAACCAAAGTGAGAAAGCATCTTTCCTACCACGGGCCCGCCTCTGAGAGGGGTCACATGCCCTTGGCCCCTCACAACTATCTTTGCGTGGCATTTCAGTGGGCTGCTAACTGGTGGTCAACTTGTGACACCCAGCTGACTAAGCTAGCGTGGCACTGGGTGTGGGAGGCCCACTGGAGGGTTGTTGCCAGCAGCATAAGAAGCTTCACTAAGTAACTCAGCAGTTCTGCGTCCTGGGGTGAAGGAGCCCTGCCCTTCCATCCAGGAGCTTGTTCCCTCTGGCAACTTGAGAAGCTTAGAAGTTCGACTAAGTGACTCAGCAGGCGCCCGGGTCCTCACTTTGCCAACATCCTCAGCTTGTGGAAGAGGAGGGCAGGGAGACAGGGCGGGCATGGGTGGACAGCTGACGTGCAGCATAAGGGTGGAAAAGGGGTTCCCCTCCCCACCGGCCCCTTGTGCTCTCGCTGCTTTTACTGTTTTCTGCCACCTTGAAATGTTGTCCCTGGGCCGCACCACCCAACCTCGGAGCCAGCTGATTACTAACTGAAACCTCTGCAAACCATGAGCTAAATTAACCTTTCCTTCCTTAACTTTGGGCATCTGGCATACTGAGCTTGTGCACTGGCCCCACGTGAACTCACAGAACTGATGGCCTCAGGCTGACCTGCAGGAAGCACTCAGAACTGGGGCGCCCTGCTTTGCGTGCTGTGACCGAGTGGTCACGTGCCCCTCCCAACAGGGATGCGCTCAGAGGAATGCAGTGAGAGGCACCTTCGTCACTGCGTGAACATCGCTCCACGTGCTTGTGCCAAGGTGGATGACGCAGCGGCGGCCGCACAGGGTGGCCCTGAACACGAGCGAGAGCTGTGATAGGCATGAGCGTGTGAGGCTGCTCCCAGTGCAGCCGGGCTTCTGTGTTTCTGTAAACAGGAGCACACGCCAAAGTAATATGTAGCAGGCACACAAGCCAGCAGCATTGGTGCTTATTATCATTATCAAAGGCTAGACCCCGTGATCTGGCATCGTTACACAACCCGCAGGGCGGTGGCTTCGCACCAGCAGCACCACAGACAGGTGAGTGGCGATCTACCTAGATTACAAAGGTTACAGAGTCACGGGAAAACAGCATTCTCTTACGCTCCAATATTTATCATCTTACAGGACCGCCATCAACCATGCAGTCCGTCGCTGGCTGGAATGTCCTGCTGCAGCATACGCAGCAGGTATTTGAGAGTCCTAGACCTCCAGCTGGCCCCATAGGGCAGGCATCCCCTCCCTCTCCCTCAGCGCTGGCCTCAGGTTGGTCCCCAAAACGCCTTCCTCTCCCCCGTCAGCCTCTTTCTGCAGAAAGCTCCTCCAGGACAAAGCCAGGAGGAGGGTGCTGCTCAATCTCCCAAAGATATGCTTTTCCAGGGAAGAGGGTGGATCTAAGTTGCTATAGTGGAGAAGCCCCAAAATGAGACATGAAAAAGAAGAGGAGAGAAAGGACTCATGACTGTGGTGTCTTGGGCACAATTTCTTAGTCCGCAGAGCAAGAGAAGAGGCAGAGTGAACACTGACAAGGCCTGGTAACATCCTG